CAAGAATATCCTTCAGGATAATGACAGCATAGACCATATACRCATGGTCACACAGCCTTGGGTGGAGAGACTAAGGGTTTCCAGGAGAGAATGAAGGTGGAGTGAGGCGCAGGCCAAGCATGAAGGCTCTGCAGGGACCATGTGTGGGGATCTTGTGCAGTCAGGGCTAAGGGTGAGGACCCTGATATCTCGGMTTCAAATTGTGGATTCACTACATAGTAACAATGTGTCTGTGACCTTGGGTAAGGTACTTGAGATGCTGGCCCAGTATTCTCAACTTACAAATGAGGCCAACACTCATGATGGCTGTTCCACTGGGATGTGGTGAGGATTCGTGGAGAGTGCCTCAGTGTATTGGCACAGCGTTGGCACTGGTGATTGTTGCTCAATGGATGCCCTGCTGAGGTTGGAGTGGGGGGGGCATGCACACTCATCCCAGCTCTTATGTTCCCATCCACAGGCTCCTCTACCCATTTGTGGGGAAATAGGTGCTTTCATGTTAAAGATATCTAAAACCCAACTCTTATGAGGTGGTCACATGGACCACTTTGAACAACAGCACCGGGGTGGGTTTGTGTCACCCCGCCCATGTTACTTTGGGAGATGTTTTAAATATTCCCTACTCTCCTCAGCTCACATCTTCCCCTGATGCCTACTTTTTTTGAGTGCTGACCCTTTGAGAGATGGATGACTGCTAGGATCTTTTTGCCCAAATGGTGTGTATCCACACCTGCTGCATTCTGCACTTTACTTCAGGGGCTCCATGAACAGCAGAATTTGAACCCTGTTCCAGCTGWTCAGAGACTGTGAGACATGTCTCAGCTACCTGCCTCCTCCCTTGGAAGTCACTCCTGTAAATCACCAAGGGGCAGAGGAACCTGCTTTTCTAATCACACTGAGACRATTGCTGTTCAGAACAACATCTTGGGTGTCAGTATTCCTATGAGAGTCACAGCCCTAACAGGGCCATGGGATGGAACAGGAGCCCTAGGAATAACATCAATAATTCTTCACATGCATTATCTTATTTAATTCTTCAAAGACCTTCAKGATGGTGATACTATACATCTTGCAGATGAGGAATTGAGGCACRCAGAGATTAAGTAACTTGCCCAAGGTCAGACAGCCCCAGAACCTCACTATCAACCAATAAATTTTTGGCCACCTAGTGACATCTCGGTTACAATACTCCTATCTCCTATTAAGGTGAGCATTCAGAATGAACACTCTTCAAACTGAACCTATGTAAAATCAGTGCTTAAAAGATGGAGAGAGGTCCCAGGCAGTCCTGGACCTGTATGAATTAGAACAGAAACTATTTCCTTGAACCCCAGCTAAGTGGTCATGGGCATCTTTGAGACAATGATTGGACCACTGTAAGGAATTGTGGGACCCTACTCCCTGCTCAACCCACAGCTCTGCAGAAGGTGGGTAGCGAAACCTGGGAAGTGATATTATAAACTCCCAGTGTGTTCTGGCTCCCGGGGCTGGGAGGGAGGGACGACATGCACCCCAGAGGCTGACCTGTGACAAGTGGCCCATAGACACACCAGGAGAGGAGTGAAGGATGGACAGTTTGCCCTGTGGGAAGAAGGTGTGAGAGAGAACTGGAGGCTCAGGGCCACCTGCAGGAGGACTGAGCAACCTTCCAGGGAGGGAGGAGGAGGGAGGAATGCTGGCTCAGGCAGGGAGGAAAGGCGGGAGCAGAGGGAGCCTGAGGATCGGTTCAGGCAGTGAGAGGGCAGCCCCACTGTATTTCCCAGGCTGCTCTCTGGGATGCGGGCAGGAAGGTTGAGTGTATTACACTGGCCCCACCTCCCGAGGCTCTCTCTGCAGCTGCTGGACTGGACACAAAAGCGTGAGAGACAGAGACACCATCTCTGCTAATCTGTACCAAACTCTGGCTCCTGTTGCTGAGAGACCACATGTGACAAAAGCCAGGGCAGGGGGCCCCCACGTCGCTGTCTGCATTTTGCAGGTAAGCAACTGTTTGTGTCCCAGCCAGAAGTGAAGAGCAAGGCTTAAAGGCAGTGGGCAGAGGAGAATGTGGGAGGTGGCTGCCTGGGATGGACTTAGCGCAGACAGAAGGGGCGAAGGGAGAGGGGCCGGGACCAGRAGCTAGAACAAGCCTGGGGCAGGCTTCTGCACAGTGTCCACGTATRAGGTCGGGGAGCTGGAGGCTGTACCAGAGTCACTGCTGGCTGGAGGGTGTGGGCGAAATTCCAGGAAAGGGCTGTGTTCTGACAGCCTCAGGGGGCCAGCACATCTGGAGAGCAGAGGGGCCAGCTACACCATAGCATCACTGTTCCTCTTCCTGCCCAGGTATATTTATGYAGACTTTGCCAGAAAAATCCCACTCTGGGCCCCTGCCCTCCTCCTAGTTTTCTGGATGGTGGAGAGAGAGAGCCTTGGGCAACTACAGAAGGGAGAAAGCCGGATGTATGTCTTTGCTGGGGCCATGGCTTCAGTCAGAGGAGAGATCCCTGATCGGAAAAAGGCCATCTCCTGTCAGCCTCCTGAGAAGGGGTTAGTTGGCTGAAGGCTGTGTGCTGTCCTGAGGAGGCTCCTCSGTGGAGCAGAGGCAGAGAGTCAGTCACAGGCTGTGGAGAACAGGGTATGTGTGTGCTGGGTATGGGGTGGGGAAGGGGTGACGCAAGAGTCTGTGGAACAGTGCCACGGGAACGTGCACGGTGTGTCGCAGAGAGAGGAAGAGACTCCAGAAATCTATTTGCATACAAGTCCCTTTGCTGTCCCTGCTGGGGACCACAGCTCCTGATCAAGCATGYTAGTCTGTAAGTCCTATAAAGTTGGCTGGTCTTGTGTCCCCTCTGTGAATGACACACATGCATGTACGTACCTCTCCTCTCTAAGATTTGCTATGATATAAATATGTCAAACTTGGTTTCCTGTCAAAAGGGTGCCAGTCACACCCTGACAGGTTATGGGGATAGAGCCTCAAGGTAAGAGGAGTGACCCAGGGCACAGGGGRCAAAAGGACGTCAGACCCCGAATCCAGTCATGACTGCAGTGTGTCCTCCTTTTTTTCTACTCTGGCTTCTGTACCCAGAGTAGAAAGTGAGGATTCCCCCTGTCTGCTCCCCACTCCACAAGCAGCAACTGTGTGGTGAGCCAACAGGAAGGGGGGAAGACACTTTGCTGAGACGGGGACACCTAATAGGACGCACCAACGAGAGAGCAGGGGAAGGTGGTGGAGGCAGAGAAAGAGCTTGCAGAAGGTAAATAGTCGGTGACTAACACTCCTGACCACCCCAGGCAGCAGTCTCTGCAGCATGTGTCCTGGCTCTGACAGTCGGCCCTGGGCCCTCTCTCCCGCGAAGGGCAATCTGGGTCAATGAGAGCAGGGAGGAACCCAGCAGTGAGGCCTTGCAGCCAGTATCCCTTGGCCCAGAAACACAAGGGGCTTTGATGCCTGCAGAGTGCAGTGCTCTTCYCCCCAGGATGCTGTGGCCACTCTTGGCAGGGCCCAACCCCAGGGCAGGCTCAGTCTGGAGGCCACAGCTGGGAGGTGGTATGGCTCCACAGGTCTTAACATAACGGTCTTGGAATTAGAAAGAAATTAGAGGGCTGCTGTCTGTGAGCTGTGTGGCCTTGGGCAGGCAAGCCTCAGTGTCCTTTCCTATAAAATGGAAAGAATAATACAATAATGATAGCCTCCATCTTAAAGGTTTCTGCAAGTCCTAAATGAAGGCATGTTTGCAAAGTGCTCAACATAGTTCCTGGCTCCTAATGTGTTCCCAGAAAAATGGGAACTGTTAATATTAACGCTTCTGGGATTCTCAGAAGGTTCCCTCCAGACCAGTGCAAACTCAGCCCTCTGTCAGCAACTGACCTCTCTGGGAGGCCCTCAGAAGCTGGCCTCTCAGGCCAGCAATTCCTGTTAAATGTGTCACTCACAAAAGCAATGCTTATTAACCAACCCTTGGCAGGCTTTCCCTGTGTCTTCAAGCTAAAATAAAATCAATTTGAAAATAAAACCCAGATGGCTCCTGTGTCTCGTACCTCGCTGTCAAAACCTTTGTGCTGGGCTGCTCAAGTTGGGGAACATGCACTCCTGTGCTGTGTGGGGGTATGCCAGGAGTACATGATGTGTGGGGTACATGGGCCACACTTGGAGGGAAAGTTAAGCATTTCAACTGAAGGTAACTTAGATACTGTTTTCCTATTGATGTTTATTATATGGCACTGAGCATAAATTCTCATGGATGATTAAGACAAAGCATTATTTCTGATAGTTCACGCTCTCTGTGGGTGTTTACGTTCACACTCCCTGGCTGTCGGGGGCTCTTCATTGCAGACCTGAGAAGCCTTGCTCAAGCAGTGAGGGGCAGCTGGTATCTTCTGGGGAACCCACCTGGTTTCCTCTTGACTTGACCCCATTCTCCTAGGGGCTATTCCTTGACTTCAGAGGAGATGACCTACACGGCTCAGTGCCTGGGAGGTGGCCCTAGCTGGCATCTTCACCAGACAGCACCTTTGCACTCCTATCAGGGACAGCTTGGTGTTCAGGTTCCAGACAGGGGGACAATGTCAGAGTGTCTGAGGATGCCCAGAGCTCRCGTCCTGCCTTCTCATCTAGCCTTCATCATGCCCGCAGAGGACCTGTGTGACCTGTGAGGTGTGAGCACCCTGGACAGAGCAGGACACAGCTGGCACCCAGCAAAAGTCCCCCTGCCCCTGGCCATTCTTGACAGCATGGCTGTCTGGGGCTTCTAGAAAGTGGGATTTCCAAAGGGAACAAGGATGACTGAGGCATTTTCAGCAGGGCCCAGCTCCTCCTGCCCTAGGGGAGGCTCAGCAACACGCCTGGCAGGTTACCAGTTGGAAACAGAGCTATAATGAGAACCTCAGTCCCTCTGGTTATGAAAGTCTAAGTACACTCTTTGTGATTTCCTCTTCACACCTCCCTTTTTGCAGGTATCCTGAGCCAAGCAAAGGTTCTTCCCTGGAAGAGCAGACAACAGAAGCTCCTGCTGCACAACATGGCAGAAGGGGACTCCCAGGACAGGTGGGGCAAAGGGTCCCTTGGCAGCCTGACTCATGACAACCAGATGTTGAGCATGAACTTGAAGAGTGAAGATGAGGATGGTGGGGAGGCAGGAGATACAGGGGACCCTGGTGAGCAGGCTCCTCCAAGGGGTAGCTCCCCAGTAAATCACCATTATCCTGACTTGCAGTGGCAGAGTCCCTCGTTCAAAGAGGAAGACACCTTCTCTGATCCTATTAGTGCTGGAGACATGGTGGAGAAACCTATAGAGATGCCTGGAAAGATCCGCTGGGAAAGAGAGGAGTCAAAGATCACCCTGACTCAGGAGTCCCCCGAAGCAGGAGCAGCTTTGGGTGCCCTTCCTAGGGGCCTCTCACACAAGTTGGTCAGTCGTTTGCAATCTCCTAGAGACTCACTACCTGTGGGGGATGATGGAGGCTCCAAGGCAAACCAGGACACATCCTTGGATGTTCCATCCAGCTTCCTGGACAATGAAGAATATTTTTGTGCACACAAAGATATAGACACATCTCCAGACAACTCTCCTGAGTGCTTTCCTGGAACAGATAGCATTTGGGATCTCCCTATGCAAGAGACAAAGGCACAGGACCAGGGATCTGCCAATCCAGCCTGTCTGGCAGCTGCAGTGTTGGCAAAAGCGCGGAACAGCAGAAAAGACCAGAACCCAGCTGCTGAGCCAGACCCCAGGCAGGCAGAGGGGCATCCCTACAAATGTCTGCGGGGCGGAGAGGCCTTCCAGAAGCCCCGCGAGCTGCCTGGAGCTGCAGGACGCCGCAGTGCCAAGCCCTACGCGTGTGAGCTGTGCGGAAAGGCCTACTCCCACAGGGGCACGCTCCAGCAGCACCGGCGCCTGCACACGGGCGAGCGACCTTACCGGTGCCCCTTCTGCGACAAGGCCTACACCTGGTCCTCGGACCACCGCAAGCACATCCGCACCCACACCGGTGAGAAGCCCTACCCATGCCAAGACTGCGGGAAGGCCTTCGTGCGCTCCTCGGACCTGCGCAAGCACCAGCGCAACATGCACAGCAACAACAAGCCCTTCCCGTGCTCCGAGTGCGGCTTGACCTTCAACAAGCCGCTGTCATTGCTGCGCCACCAACGCACGCACCTGGGCGCCAAGCCTTTCCGCTGCTCCGCCTGTGACCGGGAGTTCGCAGTGGCCAGCCGCATGGTGGAGCATCAGCGCGTGCACTCTGGCGAGCGGCCATTCCCTTGCCCCACCTGTGGCAAGTGCTTCACCAAATCCTCCAACCTGTACGAGCACCAGACACTGCACACAGGGCAGAGGCCCTTCAAGTGCGCTGACTGCGGAGTGGCCTTCGCACAGCCCTCGCGCCTTGTGCGCCACCAGCGCATCCACACCGGTGAGAGGCCCTTCCCTTGCACACAGTGTGGCCAGGCCTTTGCCCGCTCCTCCACCCTGAAGAGGCACCAACAGATTCACTCTGGAGAGAAGGGATTCCTGTGTGCAGAGTGCGGCAGGGCATTCCGCATTGCGTCGGAGCTGGCTCAGCACATCCGGATGCACAACGGGGAGAGGCCCTACCAGTGTGAGGACTGTGGTCAGGCCTTCACCCGTTCCAACCACCTCCAGCGACACCGAGCCAAGCATGACACCTGCAAAAAGGAGCCCATCCCTTCCTCCTCTGATGAGTGAGGGCTCAGTGGGCTAGTTCCCGGGGGAGGCAGACACCAGGAACCTCACTGCTTGRAACCCCCCTCCCCCAGAGCCCCACATGGTGTGACCAGCCAGCCTCACTGGTCAGCTATCTCCCAGGGATTGCTGGTCCCAGGGTGGTCTGTCTCCATATTATATTTGTTGTCATAGAAAGGAACCACAAGGATGGCTCTGTGCGAATTCACGCCTGTCTTCCGTGGCTCAGAGCCAGAAGCAATATGAAAAGGGTGAAATAGAAGAGTAGGAGATGGTCAATAGCTGAGTTCCTTGGGTCAGGGGACCTTAATAAATCAGAAACTATTTATAGAATTATTTGCTGGGTACTGTGAAGACTCCAGGAATACAGAGAGGAAAAAGATTGTCCTGTCCTGTCCTGCCCTCAAAGCCATACGAAAATACTGAGAAGGCATGTATGGTTTTTACACAAATAAAGGAATCCCAGAAGTGGTCCCTGTGATGGGCTCTTCTAAAGAACAGAGCCTAACTGGGGTAACTGAATCCCATATAGACACGCGGCGTCCTTTCAGTTCACTGATGAAATGACTTTACTTTTGGGAACCGTCTCCATGAGTTTTGACTTTGAAGTGGAAAAGGCCTTTACCTTATAAAGGGGTTGGGGGTGGGATATGTCCAATGTTTAAGGATCAGTTATGCCGGAAGTTCAGAACAGCCTGCGTCCCACCCACAAAGTTCATATGTGCATCCTGTCTACCTCTTTTTTCTGCTCCCACCCTGCAAGTTTAATCATCTGTAATATTTGCAGAGGAATTGGCTTTTTCTTCCCATTTACAGGGAAGCACAGAAATTCCTCCAGATAGGCTGAACTGGCTCATGAAAACTTTTGGGTTCATTTAAAATTGCCTAGATCATTAGATCTGATTTGAAGCAAATAAAGCATTCTTTGCCCAAGTGCCTGTTAGCTTGTCTGTTTTGGTTTCAAAGCCATTAAAACCAGGTATGAAAGTCTTCATGACTCACCTTTGTCTTCTAATGGGATTATTCAAACTTTGCATTACTGATAGCCATGTATTGATATGTATACTGATTTTGGTGAAGTCAATAGTTCTTTTTTTAAAATGTTCTTTGATGTCTATAAAGAAGAGATTTTGAAGTTTTTTTTTTTTAATTTTTTTTGTTTAGTTGTCATTGGACCTTTATTTTTATTTATTGATATGTGGTGCTGAGAATTGAACCCAGTGTCTCRTACATGCTAGGCAAGCACTCTGCCACTGAGCCACAACCCCAGCCCCAAGTCAATAGTTCTTAACTCAATAGTTATTAGTCAGCTGGGAGKAATCTTATGATTTCACAAAGAGCCTTTGGTGCACACAGGCAAAAGGCACATCTCATCTCACCAAAGTTAAGTAAGATATTCCACAAGTAAGTCTAGTAATGTTTTCCTTTAGTGACTATCTTTAGTATATTCCAAAAATTGCCACTAAAATATACTAAATCTGAATTTATCTTGAATTCTACCTGATTTTGACCAGGATGTGACTGCCAAATCATATTCTCCGAATATGTAGAAAGCCATGTGTTTGTGGGGTGGGGGGAGTAATATACATAGCTGTGCCTGATTGAGAAAAGTGACCTTAGTAAGTCAGCTTYGGTCAAAAACCCTGGAGGGTTTGTGTGTTCCTCCCTTAGATATATCTGCATGTCCACAAGACAGAGTTAGTCTTAATTTATCCTTGTTATTTATCAGTGAACTTGGGCTTTTGCTTCTGGGATTGCATTGTTGAAATAGGAATGATGATAATAGGCAATGAAGGTTGGAGCCATCCTAACAGATGACAGGAACTGTGGCTGACTGCAAGAGCATACAATTGGTTGAGAAGTCACAAGAATGAACTTGTGAATGAACAGAGCAAAGACTAGTAGTATATTTATTTCTGGGCAATCAGCAAAATTTTTGAAGACTGAAACATTATTCTTTTTCTCTATATTCTTTTTGAGGATGGTTGTCAGTATGATTTACACTAACTTAAAAATTTAGATTGGTTCTATAGTTTTTAGAGGAGTTGTCCCCAGAACTAATCCATAAAGTGGCTGCATGGGAATCATCTCACTGTTTGTTAACCATGCAGCTTGCTGAATCTTTACCTTGAACACAGATACAGGTCTGCGGTGCAATATCTGGTATGGCTTCCCAGATGGGCACACCTTTGGGAAAAGAGTGAATGTACTTCTTGTTAATAGGCAGAAAAACTGGCATAGCTTGTGCTAGGTATCTTTGGTGCTCTATACTATGTTTCTGGAATATAACGGGTAGAATGTACTGACTAGGCCAAAGAGAAGTTTGTTAATTTTTCAAGCTTATCACATTTAAGCAAGTCACATTTTAAGGAAATTTGTCCCAATCACTYTTTTCTGACATAACCTGCTAAGATTATGCTGAGTAGGTTTTGGGGAAAAGCAATCTCATTCTGTAGTCCCAGGTCACAGGGTGCACAAATGCAAAGTAAGAACAGAGCATGGATGGGGACAAAAGAGAAGCCAACCAGTGATGAGGTAGCCTGGCACAATTCTGCTCAATGGAGCATGACCATCCAAAGTAGGGGCAATTTAGCCATTTCTTTGGAGAAGAATCAGTGCTTGAGGACAGGAGSATATTCTAGCCTAGATTGTCTCCCTAAATTATGCTGAGCTCCTTTTTTGGCCTTCTAGAAACCCATACTACATTACAATAAACCATCTTATTTTCCTATTGTATAATTAAAAATCAGAGAAGGGGCTTCTTTGTGACAGCATTTAAAGCATCTCTTGGGACTAATGCTGTTTCCACAATTTAGTTTGCCAATATTGATTTGAACATATATGTTCATTTATTAGGTTCCCACTTAATAAAAACTCACCTGATGGATTCACCAGAGTCTATGATAATCCTGACCCACATCCTTTAGATTATAATGAGAAGAGTAATACTTACAGACTGCTCAGTGTGTGCCAGAATTATTCTAAGTGTTTTACACATATTCAGAATTTAATTTTAAAAGAAAATTATGGTGATTATTACCCCATTTTTTTTTTTTAAGATGAGGAAATCAAGGGACAAAGAAGTTAAATTATCCAAGATATATAGCTAGAAAGTGACCGGCATAGTAATGATTTAGCATTTAGGCATGCTTGCCCCAGAGACTGTGTTCTTCACCACAGGGCCAGCTGCCTGTTTGGTATGGAAGGATATTCTGTAATTGTTGATGATTTGCAGTTTTAAAGCACAAAGCATTAATTAAAGAGGAAAGTTGAAACCCAGCACAGCAGAAATCATGGTGTGCTGGGAAGAAGACCTGTAAATTACTTAAGAAGCAGTTTGGGAGARCGTGGGTTTGGCAGCTTTTAAGCATTAATTCCCGGGTAAGATTGTCAAAAAGCTGGTCAGAAGGAAGGGATTAGAACCAAAGGAGGGATGGTCCCTTAAAGACCCACCAGTGTTTCACATCTCTGTCTAAAAACATACTGTCCCTGGGCTGCACACAAAGCAATCTATCAGCAAGGAATCTTGGCACTCAACATTTACACACATCTTGTAATCTCAATGCRTGTACACAGAAAAGCTGTATTACCCTGGTATGAACACCATAGATCAACCAGGAAACCCAACAAGACCTTAAAAAAATATTGTTCAGAAGAAAATCTTTGTCAAGCATCAATTTAATTGATAGAATGCTAAAGTAGATGTCATTGCTCAATTCAGAAGTAGATGAAGAACTACAAACTCCATGACCCATGAAAATATTGCCCCAAATGGAAGGACTTGCCATTTCATCAAACCAGAAGAGGGTACCTGTTTCAGTCGACAGGGAAGCTCATTTTAACCCTCCCTCCCTCCTACCTGAAACCATGCCAGTACAATTTCCCCACTGCTGCTGGATAATATTTTTATATCTCTTTCTCCTTTTTGTTTTTTGTCCTTACTCCCCCACTCCCAAATTGGTTCAGAGTTTCACTGACCTAGGAGTGGAACTCAGTAGGTCAGGAACTTAGTAGATTGATTCTGTGACAGAATGRAGCTTCTGTAAAACACAAGTTAAAACTAAGATTTGAAGAAAAACAGACTTCTCACATCAAGCAAAGTTGTAGAGGAGGCTGAAAATGAGGGGAAAAAAATTCCTGTTGTAATTCAGATGAAGTCAAGTAGAGATTGGGGTGAGTTGTGGAGATGCCAGGGATTTCAGACATGAGTCAACAGGGCTTGGTGAAAAGATAGTAATAGCTATGCTTAGTGAATTCTTTTGAGGAGGAATATGGGGGAAAACTGGGCATTGGACTCAGGGCCTTGTGCATGCTAGGCAAGTGCCTTACCTCTGAGCTACATCCCCAGACATAGTGAATCCTCTTTTAGGGTCAAACACTGCATTTATTATCTCTATTATTCCTTGCAAGGATCTGGTATGGGAGACCCTTGAAAACTATTCCCACATGGGGTCTGCATCAATTTTCCTTTTTAGGAAAGCAGAGAAGATTAATAGGTCATGGGTATTGTGTGTTATTACTAAGCAAGGAGATCCACATGTCCTTCTAAAAGATAGGCTACTTGTCTGCAACAGGGGAACGTGCAGAAGTCCCTGCCTTTTGATTTATAAGTCACAATTGCTGACATTTTTATTATTCACAATTGTGGTTGTTTGAAAAATATGGGCACAAAAATTTTGACACTCATCCCTYCAAGAGTCTAGTTTCTTTTCCTTTTAGTGACCTGATTTAATGATGAGAAGGCTAGATCATAAAAGGTATCAGGGCTTCCCACTTGCACTTCCCCCACCCCCACCCATCACTTGCTCTGGGGAAGCTCACACCTTGGCATGAGCAGCCTTAGAGAAGGGCTCTATGGCTAGCAACTGAGCTTTTCTGCTAACAACAGCCACAAACGAATATGGTAACATCATAGGATACCAGCTCAGGTAAGGTCCCACCACTTCATCACAGTAGAAAGATCCCTTTCCAGAGTGTGTCTGTTGGTGTCTTTTTTTTTTTTT